TTCAACGCCTTTTTAGATATTTATGCACTTTTGTGGCGGAAATTTGCGCTGTCCATGTGGAAGTATTGTGTGCGTCGGATGCTCGAGATTTTGTATAGGATGCAATCAGCTGGTCTGTGCCAGGTGCGTACCACCCTCATTGACGCACTGTAAGAGGTGTTGTTTGGCGTTCTTTCAAAACACTCGTCATCGTTTATGATTTATCTGCCAAAAGCATTTGCGCAAGGTTTGTTGTTGTTGTTGTAAAGTTAAAAGTCAATGGGCGTTCGGATTCGTGGGCTTTAGAGCGTCTATCGTTTGCTGAAAAGAGAGCAAACTGGCTCCTCCGGAATCTGGAGCAGAAATAATGTCCACTTTAGATGTTGTTTATTTTGTGTGAATTATTGACTGTTTAGCATTCTTTGAAAAGGATTTTTTTGTATTTGTTATTATTGATCTTTTTTTCTCATTAGGTAGAATATGCTTTTAAGGAACATCACCCGTTGTTTGCTCCCACGGGCGTTGTGTACCTCGTACACTTCCGCACGAGTGGGAACCTCACCGACTGGACTCGCCTCACCCAGTCTTCTGATTGAAAAGAGAATGCCCACTTTACTTATCGATGTGCCGAAAGTGGAGAATTTGACTTGCGGAACAGGCCAACCTGCTCAGCGTGGTCGTCGAAAGCCATTGGTGTGGAAACGAAGGCATCCATGGTTTGATAGACAATGGTCTCTTGATCTCAAGCGTGCAAAGAAGGGCCCCTTAACACCACAGTTTCCTGAGGGTGTGCCATTCACTGCGATTCGGTCCTTTCAGTCCTTTGCCGGGAAGTCCTGGAAAATCAATGCAGGGCGTCGTAGGAAGATTCGTCTTTCCCTAAAACGGGGTCGCCGAAAACTTTTATAGGTTTTTTTTCCCCCAAAGCAATTTGTTCATCTGATGCTTTGAATGGTGCGGTTTTTTTTTTTTTTTTTTTTTTTTTTTTTTTTCGCCTTTTCAGTCATTGTTGTTGTTGTTGCTGTAATTTTGTGTCTTTGTTACTGTTGTTTTTGGCGATGTCAGGGAGGAGATAGGCTTTTCCATTTGCGTTTTCAATAATTTTTGAACAATCATAGAGTTTTTTTGTGATTTTTTTTTTTTGTTGTTGTTGTTATTTATTTATTTAGGTTTGCATTTGCATTTTATTAGTATTATATTTTATGGACGTCTATCCGCATATGAAAATGATGAAAAGGCCTTTTTGCATTTTGGTGCTTTTTCTTTTGACATCGAATGTTGTGTTTTGTGAAAGGTGCTCTCGCGTGACTCAAACGTTGCAATGTGGAGATTTGGCTTGTGATACTGATCGTGGCGTTTGCGTCCCTTGTAATACATCGGCTGATTGTTATCCTAATGCCATGGAATGTAAGGAAGGAAAGTGTGTTGTTAAGAGCTTCGTCAGCAACTTTTCAGCCCTTTATGTTGTGGCACTCCTTTGTTCGGTTGCCGTTTGTTCCATTGCTGTTTTGGCTGGTGTTGGAGGTGGCGGTATTCTTGTGCCTATGTTCTGTTTGCTCATGGGGTTGCCGATGGATTTTGCTGTGGGGTTATCTCAAACTACTATATGCGGACAAAGCATTTTGAACGTGCTCATTGCCATTCGGAAGCGTTTTCCTTGTGCTGGATGCTCACGTCCTTTGATCAATTATCAGTACCTGACTCTTCTTGTTCCACTCGGTGTCATTGGTACTCTCATTGGAGGAGTGCTGAACAGGTTGTGTCCAGATTTGTTTCGTTTGGTTTTACTGTTTCTTCTCCTTACGGCTGTTTTGTATCGCAGCGTGCGAAAAATGATTGCACAATACCGGAAAGATCAGTCTGAGAGGAGAGGAACGAATACGGTTTCATCTACAGAAGAAGTTAGCGGAACACCAACATTGAATTCACCTGAAGAAATTTTTCACGTTACCCAACCCCAGTATCCATGGATAGAAATTTCATGTGTGGTGTTTTCCTTTATTGTTAATTTATCTTTTGGAGCATGGAGGTCTCGAACGAAATGCGGAGGTGGAGCGTATATTGTTGCATACTGTTTACCAGTTGTCTTGAATATTGTTATATTTTTTTGCTACCGTCATCGATTGTCAAATATGGAAAAATTCAGATTGGTTTTTCACTGGAACAATAGTACCACCATCCTGTACCCTTTAGTTTCTGTTGTAGCAGGAGTTGCATCGGCCATGCTTGGTATCGGAGGTGGTTTGGTGCTGGGCTTTATTTTGTATGACGTTGGCCTTATTCCTGAAGAGGCTTCTGTCACAGGAGGTGTTGTAACACTTTTTTTAGCCTTTTCCTCTGCACTTAGTTTGTTGATTGAAAGTCATCTTCTTATTGATTACGGGGGTGTTCTGTTTGCTTGTGGAATTGTGAGCACAATCCTTGGTCAATTTGTCTTAATGAGACTTATCAAGAAATACAAGTTGAAATTTTTGATTATCGCGGCTCTGGTCACAATAATTGCTGGTTCTCTTACTTTTCTCACGAGTTACGGCATTTACAGCTCGCTGAACCTTACCCGCAGCGGTGGTTCGATCATTGCATTTGGCCGCTTATGCCGTGCGAAAGGCGGAGGAAGTAAGTAGCAATAATGCACCCGCGAGAAATTTGGTATTGGAGGTGCGCATTTGTGGTGGCCTGCAATATGCATAGGTGGAAAAACTGAAATGAACCCAAAAAGGTGGAAAAAATGCGAATAGAAACTATATATATATATATATATATATATATATATATATATATATATATATATATATTCCTACTGGTGCATAATTTTTTATAGGAGATTGTGAAGAGAAAGTTCACGGTGCAAACTGACTATCTAATTTAATATATATACTGTTAAATCGAACTCTGTGCGACGTTTTTTACTACTTTATGATTCTTTATTTGACCGCGATTCTAGGAATCGGAAAACTAATAACGTCTAGACGATTTTCATTATTTTATTTCTATTTTTACTTTTACTCTTGCCGTGCCACCCCTTGATTCCCCTTATTGCGGCGGGGTCTTGTGGAAGAACCCAAAGTTTTCCACTTCGTAAGTTATAAGAATTTCTAATTATAAAAAAGTGCCAAAGGTCACGTGAGTTGTCATCAAAACGTATATATATAACCAGGAGAAAGCATTGGCGTGATCCCACCGCCTCTCCCTTTACCCCTTTTTCCCTGTCTTGTTTGATTTCTTTAGATAATTTCAGGATACGGCCAGCGGCCCAGGCGAATATTTCCTGGTCTTCTGAATAGTTCAAATGCGTTTTCGCTATGGTTTTTTCGATGGATTCAAATATTTGTGATGAAGAAGTGACTACATGGAGGAAGTGCATAGAGCGAAATTTGGGGGACCACAAGCTGGAAAAGAAATGCAGCGCTGAGCTTGCATTGTTTGATCGATGCATTGCATCATGGCGCCTAAATGGCGCCAAGGAAGTAAAAATTAAGGGCGAGAGTGAGGGTGAACCACCACCACAATGTGCCGCTTTATCTTGTCTAATTGGCACGTGCCTTCGCAACACTGATTACGACTTTTCCAGATGCAAGGTACCTATGCAATATTTTAAGCACTGCGTCAAAAGCTTTTACGGATCGGAGTACGTTGTGTAGGTTTTTTTTTTGTCATCTAATGCGTCTTTTGTCCAAATTGTGGCGATACTCTAAAGGTGGTGGGATGCGTTGCAACCGGGGAACGCGAAAAAAAGTTTCATGAGGTGTTTATTATGTTATTATTGTTTGCTATTGCTGCACCCGATGAAGATGTGATCTTTTCTGTGGAAAGTTCTTTTTTTTTTTTTTTTTTTTTTTTCAGTGTGTGTGTGAAGGAGGGACAATGAGTTTCTTCGGTGAATTAACAACAGGGACAAAATTTGATGTCAAGAAGCACGGCGCAGCCATGAAGCGTTTCACACCAGAGAATACCAAATTGGATCATCCTTTTGCGCCTGGCAACTCGACTCCTATCTGCGATATCATGGAGGTACCCATGCCCAATCGCACCCTGAACATTTTTGGACGCTCCAGAAGCGCGGGAACAAGCGAGGGCGCGGGGCTGTTAGAAGGAAAGGCCCAGGAAGATATCCGGAACAACGCCACAACAACGCATACTCCTGTTAAAAGTATGAGTATAAAGAAGAAAAGGAACCTGTGGAAGAAAAATGAGCTGGAGGTTGAGGGCGTTGATGTGCCTCAGCCAATTCAGCACTTTTCAGAACTTGTTCGTCCTCCACTTTCCGTGGATGAGCGTCTCGTTTCCAATTTATTTGAGCGAAATCATCGCATTCCGACTCCTATTCAAATGCAGGCGATTCCGTGTTTAATTAACAAGAGAGATGTTCTGGCGTGTGCTCCAACAGGCTCGGGAAAAACTTTGTCCTTTCTCATTCCCATGTTTCATATTTTGAAGTCCCCTAACACAGAAGCCGGGGTTCGAGGGCTTATTATAACGCCCACCATGGAACTAGCTGAACAAATTGAAAGGGAGGCTTTTTTTCTCATGAAGGGCCAAAGATGGAAGCTTGTTCAACATGGACAATCGACTCGAAACAAGGATATCTTCATCACAACACCGAGGCGTGTTTTTACAATGATAGAAAAGAAACTAATTGATCTTGGCAATACACAGTATTTGGTCTTTGATGAAGTAGACCGTCTTTGGGATTCGGCGACTGACAATCTTCAAGTGGTGGACTCAATCCTTACGGCGTGCACTTTTGAGGAGAAGGTTGTTGCTCTCTTTACCGCAACACTAAGTTCAAAGATAGAGGGAATAGCTCGTACTGTAATGAGTCCAGATCCAATCCGTATTATTGTCTCTGGTCGTGTTTCAGCAAATAAGAAAATTTCACAAGAGCTTGTCTTTTGTGGTAATGAGTTGGGTAAAATTGTAGAAATACGTAACTTGCTCCGTGAGGGAATCAGCCCTCCAGTGCTTATTTTTGTCCAGAGTATCGAACGGACAAAGGAACTGTATGACGAAATAAGATGCCAGGGCCTTAACATAGCGGTGATGAATTCTAAAATGAACCACGAGGAACGGGATGAGACAATAATGAACTTTCGTTTAGGAAAGTTGTGGGTAATTATCACCACTGATCTTCTTTCCCGCGGGATTGATTTTAAGAACATTGGAACCGTAATAAATTTTGATTTCCCAATCACCATTGAGTCTTACATTCACCGAATTGGGAGATGTGGGCGGGCTGGAAAGACGGGCAAGGCCATAACATTTTTTACCGAGGATGATAAAAAACGGATTCCGCCAATTGCTCGTGTTATAAAGGAGTCAGGGAGTGCTGTTGAAGACTGGATGCTTGAGATAAAGTCAGACCGTCGCACACGTCGGCGGCTGGAACGATCAACACCACACAGAATGATAGTCAGTACCAAAAAGAGGATGCTTGTCGCCGATCAGCGCATGGAAAGGCAGCTTCGTCGATTGGAGAAGGAAGTCATAAATGCGGAAGATGAAGAATTGGATGGCCAACACAAGTAGTGTGTGTGTGTGTCGATTTGTGTTAAAAACCTGCTTTCTGCGCGGCCTTTTTTTTCTTTTTTTACGTGTTCGTTTGCTGTTTTTTGTGTGTGCGTCATTTTTTCCTTTGTGGAGGCACCGAGTATTTGGCGAAGGAGAAAGGCAAAGTTAATTGTTCTTTTTTTTCGTGTGTTTTTTTCTGCTTATTATTTTTTTGTAGAAATACAAAATTAGTATTTTCAGGTGCAAATGCGTGCTAATAAATAGGGCATGGTTCCGATGCTGCGCATCACTTATGAACGTTCTCTCAGTGATGGGCGTGTGAATGCATCCCACCACCTTCAAACCCTTTTGCATTCGTCATCACCGCCACCACCATCGGGAAAAAAAAAATCCCCAACCTTTTTGGAGGGTCGTAATCTGTCTGGAGCCGATACTGGGGCTTGAGCTGTTGCAATGTGTTGCTTCTGGTGTGCCCCTTTGAATATTACCGCGCCTTATTGCTGTTGTACGTTTGTGCATCCGTGCGTTGATATTCTTTTTTTTTTTTGTGAGTATGATTTTTTGAGAAATGGAATAATGATGTCTGCAGTTTGCGTTTGTCAGTTTTTGACTTTTGTGTGCTGTCATTGGGTCTTTTTCCTCCCCATATTGAGGACTTTTTTGTGCGAACATTTTAAAATACGATCAGGGGAGGGTTGGGCCTTACTGGTCGGCCAACCTGGTTTTCATTGAACAAAACTGTGAAGTGCGTCAATTTTTGGCGATTTGAACGGGGAAAGGAATGGGAGCAAATAAAAGAATATGTAGTGGTTGAATGGCAGTGTAAGTGGCGTTTGTTTTTATGATTAGACTGCCTTATAATTTTGCATGGTGCCATGAATGGAAAAGCGGTCTTGGTTTATTAAGATTCCGGAAATATTGGAAATATTTTAATATTCACGCTTTTTTTTTTGTTTTTTGTTTTTTGTTTTTTGTTTTTCCTTGTTCTACAACAACAAAAAATACGGAGGGTGGAAGGGATCAATGGCGTGTGAGGGGGAAGAGGCAACGCTGCTCGCTGTGGCATTGGCTGGTGAGGAAACTTACTGGCTTTGCCAACCGATTCATGGAAAGCGACTCCCCCCTGAGTGGAAGAACTGCACGTGCCAATGGCTTTACATTGTGGATGATGTGGATATACGTGGTTATATTCCTTGGTATAAGGGTGACTTGGGTGTGGTGCTAGAACTTGGTGTAAACGAAACTTCAAGGATTGAGCGCTTTGCGGTGATATCTGATTCAGTGAGGGCAAGAAAAATTGTTGTTGGCGAGGGAGGGGATACAAAGACATACTTCTTTGTTGGAAATGAAGAACGGGATGCCTTGGATGCCAAATTTGACGATCTTCTGAGGCGTGAGTCGACTGTTTCCATGAGAAAATCTTCTGTAGTTGGAATTGACGGGAAGCCACCTGAGGAAAGGCGACGCATCATTTCTACCGGTGCTTCAGAGCTGAGAAATGGTGGCCGAGGGGGAAATAACGTGGTTTTTTCATGGGATAGTTTTTTTATTGTAGAATATGGAAATCGCGTATTTTATGTATGTTCAGCTCCACATGGCAATAAGTATGGATTTAAAGTAGAAAGAATCATGCGAAAAGGTATAACTATATTCTTGTTATTTCAGGATGAAAATGCTGGTCCGTGCAGGGTGAGTGAAGTACAAGAAGGAGAAAGGGCAACGGTGAGTTCTGTACTGGAAGGAGAAACGGGTAAGGTGATGGTCTTGATGACCGAAGGACGTGAAGTGGCTGTTGGGAAGAGTAGAGGGGATTCTGCTGATTCCTCTGTATTTGAGCCTCCGTCCAAAGCTGCGAGAAGGGAGAATTCAAGAATGAATTGTCCTAATCGGCGGCCTTTGAGAGCAGCCGGTGTAAATTTGTGGGTGGATTCCGATGGAAAGGAAGAAGGGGCGATGAATCTGGCAGAATTGTTCCCATTTTCAAGTGAGGGTGGAGATTCGGTACGCACAACGGTTTTTTCTGATGGAACTTGCGTTACGTACAATTTTGCTACCGCTTCAAAGTTTGCCATGAAAAAGAAGATTGCTGCCACATCGACGGATTGTGACATGGTGGGACTTCTGGAGAATATACAACTGGCGAAGGAACAGTTTAATGCCATGTGACACGGGAAAAACTTTTTGTTGCTGCCTTATTATTATTATTATTATTATTATCTTGTGTTCCAGCGCGTCCACAATGTATTCTTTAATTTTCTCTGTGTTGCTGTTGATTTTTGCTGACCGTATCAATCATTGAAATTTATTCTTATTTTTTAAATTTATTTTTATCCTTTTGAAGCGCGAGTGTTGCTGCTTTTTTTTTTTTTTTTTTTGCTTGTGTGTCTATTTTTTTGATAGCGTGAGTCAGGGAAGGAGAAAGGGTAACTATGATGCGCTTCCGTCAGGTACTCACACTGTCTGTTCGCGGCAGCATTCGGTGTGTGTTCCAGAGCAAAGCTTTTGTGAGTGTCAGCAAAGAGCTTCCTCTCACACCGGAGGGAAAGAATCCGTATGACGTTCTTGAAATTACCGTTACAAACGCCACAAGTTTTGATGACGTGTCCAAGCAATTTAGAGAGCTTGTAGTTATTAATCATCCTGACCGCCCCGGCGGATCGCATGAAAGAATGTCAGAAGTGAATGCAGCCTACAAAATTATTAAGGAGCATCACAACAAGCTGATTCAGCGTCTGAAGGAATATGAAGCAAATACGAAAGGGAACGAGAATTTTCAAAGACACAAACATGCTCGGGCTCGTAGTGATGATGATCTTGGACGCTCCGGTGGTGTTTATCGTCGAAATGCGAAGGCTGCCGAACAGTCTAGTGGGCTTCGAGGGACTCGCTCGCTTCGAGAAATTGAATCCAATTGGCGGCGTTTTCAAGAAGAGACGGAGCACTCCGTCTCAAGCATGTGTAACCGTTACGAATTGGCCGTAGAGAAGGGACGTTTTTTTCGAAAAACGTCCATGCTTAACGAGATCACTGTGAGGGAAAGGTGGCTGCGAAAAAGTTTTGTGAAAAACGTCTGGGAGGAGGTTCACGAATTACGGGGAGAACTTCTTCACCGAGGTGCACGTAGTGCTCAGCAATCTCAACTTGCAGAAGAAATGGTTGCATTTGCATCTTCCACCCAGAGAAAGTTAAACGAGGATTTTCAGCGTCTTACCCAGTTAAGTTTCCAATCACAATCCCAATTCTTTCTTCAGCGGGTTTTATTTGCACTGCTGTTATTGGTTACCTTTATCAAGGTGTGGGGGTGGATCGTCACAGGGATGTTTAGAAACTCACTTACGGTGAGATTTCGTCAGGGAATTTTAAGCCATTGATGGTGGCATTGGCTGTGGTGTTTGTCTCTGTCTGTGTGTGTGTGTGTGTGTGTTTATGGGAGAGAGAGAGAGGGAGAGGGAGGCGATATGTCTGTTATGAGTTTGAATGGCTTGAAATACTCTCTTTCTCCCTCTCATCCTTTTTTTCTCTTCCTACCGTAATGAAGGATATTGTGCGGCTCCCTTTTTGATTAGTTTGAAATTATTTTAAATTGTGAAAACACCCTTCTATTTTTTTTTTTTTTTTTTTTTTTTGTGTGTGTGTGTTTATTTATTTATTTTTACTTGTTATTCTTTTTTACTTTTGTTTAGGCTGGACACCTGCCTGTTTTGCAACGGGTTTTTATGCGCTCTTCTGTGCATGAAAGTGGCCGAGTCATGATGGCGTGCCCCAACGCGGATTCAGAGCGTAGCGCTGCCTTTGATCCATTTGATGGTGTAGAAAAAGACGAGGCAACACAAGTAAAGATCAAGTGGTGGGCGAGCCATGTTAATCAAGTGCTGGATTCTCATCGAAGTCCTTTTGTGGCTGCCGAAATTCTGTTGCAGCAGATGAATGAGTATGGAACCAATGAAAATATTACGGAAGATCTCCTATTGGCCACGGTCTTACCCGTTCTTCATCGCTGTGCTTTCTGCCTGGGAACGTATGGCGATCTGCTTGAGAAGGCGTTGCACGAGGTCCTTCCTGCGATAATGTTTGCGAGAACTTATGCTTTCCCCCATGGAGAGGTACTTCAAAGGCGGCCCTATGCGGAGTGTTTCGCGTGTATCCGACGGAAATTTAATTACCATGTTCATTTATCTTCCATTTTACAGCGCAAAGTTGCATTGGAAGAAGAAGTCATGACGCGAGTTGTTTGCAAGCTTGACAAGTTGTGGTTGAAGATGTGTTTTAGGGCCTGGTGTGGTCTTTGTCTGCATGTCCATGCAAAAAAGAGGTGCTTTCAACGGTTGGCTGCCAGGGGTGCAGCGTTGAGAGTGGTTCCTGGATTTGTCAGGAGTTGGCGACGCTACGCGCACGAGGTAACACTGCGAGAAAAACTTTTAAAGCACGATGGATTAACAAGGGAGATTGAGGAACTGTATCACATTGAACAGGTCGTTAAAAGCCGTCATGAAAGTATTCTTGAGGAGGTTCGGGAGAAACATCGTTTGCTGGAAACGACAACTGAACGTTTTATGGAGGTGGAAAGTCGTTTGAAGGTCCTTGAGGGCATTTTGGATGAGACGGTGCTCTCTCTTCGTGCGCATTGGAAAAGCTGGAATGAGACCACCGTTAGCCTTTTCTCTGACACCAACGAATTTCAACCTCCTGCCGTTGGAAATCTTCGCGCTGATCTTCAGTCAACCATTCAAAACATAACAGACACAGCAACGTTCTATTTACGAGAAGCTCAAAAGCGTGCATGTAAACTAGGTAAAAACACGATTTCTCAATTTCTTTCAAGGGCAAAAATGGGCGGTGAGATAGCTGAGCGGCCAGGACCGGATGATCTTATTGCCATGGTGACGAGCGTCTGCAATCCTGTCACGTCCCCTTTAAGACTGGTGGATGTGGTTCGCGATGATCAACGGAAGTACGATTTAACCCTTAAGTTTCTTGCTTGCGTGAATGACGGTGGCCATTGCTCCCTGTTCACTCAGCATGAATTTCCTTCCGAGGATGAATTTTCAACCGATGTCTTCAATGAGCATGGAAAAGAGATGGTAGCACATGTTGCCACTGGCGTGGATTCTCTTCATTGTTGCCCAGCGACAAATGAGAAATACATTGAAGCCATAAGAAATTGTTTGACGGCGGAAGAGCTCAATAAAGTGGGTGACTACTTGGGTAGGGTATTTTGTGAACTTGCTGCAGCTGGTCTTCCTCTACAGAAGGCCAAAATTGAGGGGTGCATTTGTCCCATTGTGGAGCCGCATGACCGCCAAATTGTTCGCGCGTTGTATCCTTCACAGGGCATCAAGTCTATAGATGACATGATAAACTACCTCTTAAGTGTGTCTCATCTCACGTCTTGGACAATTAGCAGTCTGGTGGAGCATTTGGAGAATAACTATGATGCTGATCCCAAAGAAGATCTCTTTACTGCGCTTTCTGACGAGGCCGTTATAAATTATTTCAACGAACAGGCCAGGGTCATTGATAGCCTTTTTTCAACGTTCAAGGGGAAAAGATCCCAGGTATTTTTTTCAAAGGAACTGATTCAAGGGTTTCTGATTGCAAAATTTGGCCTCCTTAGTAGTGAAGTTGACACCTTATTCAGCCTGGGTGCAGTCCAGGGGAAGGTGACCAAAGGTGAATTTAACAGGTTTCTCATTGTACTCGCTGCCTTCGTCAACCCCTCACCTTTTGTGTCAATGGCTGAAAAACTTGCGGCTGTTGTTAGGCTATGTATAGATGGAAAGTAAGTTTTAATCAGTTGAAGAAACAAACAAAAAAAAAAAGCAACGAGAATGAATAGAAAGTGAGAAGAGAAATCTAGCAGCAATGAAATTTGCATGATGGTGAAACTTTTGCTCCTGTTGTTTTTTCGTTGGTGATTGCTGGTTAAAGTTGGATGTATTTTTTTTCGTGGTGGAACTTTTTGTTGTTTTTTTTGTTTATTGTGTGTGTGTGCGTGTGGCCTGTGCAAAGGGTTACAGAGATTTTGTGGCTGATGGCCTGAGATGCGCTCGTGTAAAACTGCTCACCGAACGTTTGTTCACCACATGGCGCTGGACCCATCGGGCGTATTGCTTGCAACATGCTCGAGTGACAAGGAGGTTAACATCTTTTATCGTAATCCATTGGGGGTAGACTCTAGCGCGTGGGCTTTGTGCTCTATTCTTAAGGATCATGTGGCTACGGTCACTCGTGTAGCATGGTATTTACACAGAGAGCATGGGCCTTTGCTCGCCACTGCGGGTGCTGATAGGTGGTTTTATGTGTATAAAATTATAGTCACGATGCATGGTGGGAAAGTGGCGTGCGATGCGGTGAAATATTCTGTTGTTAGGGGGTTTGAAAAGGATGTCATTACTGATGTGGCTTTTATTCCTTTTGAACAGCATCGTATTCTCCGTTTGTCAACTGCATCGCTGGATGGCTGGATACGTTTGTATGACATCCAACCTGTACAATTTTTGTGCGTTAGCAAAATCACTCAGGAGACTGAGACAGGTAGGTCGTTAGACACACGCCGGGGCGGGATTACTTCCATTGCTTGGTTTCCAAGTTCAGCGGATGAAGGCAGGGCTCTTGCTGTCGGATGCATGAATGGTGCCTTTTATCTGTACCGATCTTCAAAGGATTGTGAACAGTTTGAGCTTGTCCGCAGCACGCTTCCAGAGAGAGCCGAGAGTTCTGTTCATCATATAGTTTGGGCTCCATGTGTTGGACGTTCCTTTCAGTTGGTTACGATTTGTTGTCGTAGTTCGGTGTATATTGTGCGGCTTAATTGTGTTTCGCCTGTCCTGGATTCGTACGATTGTGAAGTCTTTCGGTGGCCTCGGGGTGCGGCGTGTGCGGCGTGGAGTCGTTCAGCCTCGCTGCTGTACCTTATCAACGATGATGAGACGAGTGAAATGACAGTCCTTCAGGCAAAAGACCCGTCCGATCATCAATCGTGGATGGAAGTGCCAGGGAATTTTTCTTGACCGGGGCAAAGGAAAAAAAAAAGCAAAATGTGCATACCTGCTTTTATACATTGCGACCATACAAGGAATGGCACCGTTGAAGCGCCCGCATGCATGGAGTGGGGGAAATTAGAGCCAAACGCTTTCGGGAACATTTCCTTCTATTTTTATTTTTGTCCTCATTTTCTACGTTGACTTTGCCGCCAGCAATGAGGGAGAAGTTAATGAAGCAAAAACACACCACTCTTCAAAATCAACGATTCGCCCATTCTCTTTTTTTTTTTTTTTTTCTTTAATCTGATCCCCCTCCACAGTTTGTTATCATAACGAGGCATTAATTTTTCCCTGGGGCAAAAGCTAGAAATGCACGGGAGTAAGTCTACCGTAGAGATGGGCTTTTGCTCCGTCCATAGAAGAAAAAGGACAAGGGTTGATTTGATACCTTTGGATGGTCAGACTGGGCAAATGCGCTGCAAATTCCACAAGGAATGTCGTCAGCGGGCAGAGATAGAAATGGTCATTTGCAGTCTTCACAACCGACGGAGGAACATGAATCAAATGAAGGAGGTTCGTAAGGGGATATTTGAATGCTTGCCACAGTTCGCGTGTCGTGGTCAATTCAATGAGGCAATTTTGCCGACAACACACGCAAATGTGTCGCATCCTCCTCACGTTCTACCACCGAAGGGTAGTCGACCCCAACAAGTTTTTGGAGAGGCACATCCCGCCCTTTCAGCAAGTGTGACCTGGACACCCACGTTTAATCGCCCTCGAAATGCTGGTGTGGTGATTTCATCTGATTGGGCTCAGGCCGATCGCAAAACGTGGTGCGCCAAACACGGAAAGTTGACGTCTCAATGCGAGTTTATTAAGGATTGCTACCACGTCTGTTACGATGCGTCGGCGTGTCTCTCTACGCCACTGGAATTGCCTTCCGATCTTTTGGTAAAGGGATGCAAAGAGCTTTTATGTTCAAAGCACAACGCATTAAGGCTGGTAGATTTTCTTGAGAAGACGCCTGACGAAAAGGGATATCAATGTGTTGTTGGTCACCGCTGTCGGGGAACACTCGCCACTCGACGCGAGACCGTTCCCGAACAGGCAATGCACCCTGCCAGGGAAGCGGTTTCTTCGTTTTTCGTGTAATTGCTTAGGGGGCTGAGTGCTGTTTTTTTTTTTTTTTTTGGATGAAGGTACCGTAATGTGCTGGCGGGATTGTTACCCGCATGTTTTATATTTGCGCCGTGTGCTCCCTCTGGGTTTGATTTGGCTTACCTTTCCACTTTTGCGATATTGTATTATATTACATGTTTTCCACATACAAAAAAAAAAAAAAAAAAACATTCAAAGGGAAATGGGAGAACCAATGATTCCATTTGCTTCAGTTGAGAATAAAACTGAGCATGTTGAGGCGATGGAGGAGGAGCAAGTGGTTCAGTATTTGGCAAGGGAGGAAATTCCGCGTGGTTACCTCCATTTGGGCATTCGCGGAATCCTTGACGTAGTTTGCCAGAGAACAGTAGTTTTGATTGCTCTCTTGTTAATCCAGTCTTTGTCTCAGTTTATACTTGAGTTGTACGAGGTACTTATTTCTCACCACGTCATAATTCCCATGTTTCTTACAATGCTTGTAGGCGCCGGAGGTAATGCAGGTAATCAGTCTGCGGTGCGATGTATCACTGGTTTGACAACGCGTGAATTTCGAAGACGTGATTTTTTTTTGGTGCTTCAAAAGGAAGTTGCTTGTGGCTTCATCATTTCTTCGTTGCTGACCCTAGTAGGCTTCGCTAGGGTTTACTACTTCTACGGGGCCCAGTTCTACTCAACAATTGCCATATCGCTTTCGCTGTTTTTTGTCATGATAACTTCTGTTCTGTTTGGGACGACATTACCCTTTTTGTTTCAGGCGGTTGGGATTAATAAAGAACACGCGGCACCTTGCATTCAAGTATTAATGGACATTACAGGTGTCTTCATCACTTGCTTTTTTTGCTCCCTCGTTATTCCCCCGACTGAGGGTGGAGGAAACAGTGTCAGGACGTGAGTGGGATAATAATGGGCGAAACACCTGGAAAAGAAGTTTTGGTGAAGAAGGAAGAGCCCGGGGAATGATAGTGTGGCGTTGATGAAGAGGGGGAAGAATGTTCCCGGGAGGCGTATTTACATGAATTCCCGCAAGAACAACAAAAAAGCGTCGACAAAACATAATAAGTGGATGTCATTTTTGTTTTTTCAAAACTCTTTTTTTTTTTTTTTTTTGCTTTTTTTTTTTTTTTTTGCTTTGGAAGGTTCAAAAAGTGATCTAGCGATGGTCGAGGCTACCCCAGATATGGCAAAGTATTGCTTTGCAGTGATCTCCAGCAAGTTGAAGAATGAGGCAATTCCAGAGGCTCCCCAGAGTATTTCCGACGACCCGTGCCCTGTGTTTGTCAGCCTCAAGACTGTCGATGGCGCACTTCGAGGCTGTATTGGGACCTTTGCTGCTGAGCCGCTACGTGGGCAGCTGAAAAATTACGCTATAGCCGCATCATGTGAAGACAGTCGTTTTCGTCCAGTTGAACTAAGTGAGCTTCCTTCTCTGAGTTGTACGGTTTACGTGCTTCACTCCTTCGAGAAGGCGGCGAACTGGAAGGACTGGGTTATAGGCATTCACGGGATACGGATTAGGTACAAAAATTACTCTGCCACGTACCTTCCGTCCGTCATGTCCGAGGAGGGGTGGAATCATACGCAAACCCTGAACCATTTGCTGAGGAAGGCAGGGTATGGAGGAGATGTGACGGAGTCATTTCTCGATAAGGTGGAGGTGACCCGTTACCAGGAAAGCAAGGCCAGTGTTGATTTTTTATCGATTTATTCGGGGGTCTAATGGCGTGTTTTGCTGGACTTTTTTTTTTCCTCTTCTTTTTCAAGGTAATTAATTTTTAGTGCAGTGTGTGAGCGAGAGAAAAGAGGGCCGTGGCAGATTTAAAATTGATGCGTCGTCACTAACTGAATTCTGAAGAGCGAAAGCAATGGAAATGCAAACAATAATACTTATAGTGGAGAATAAACAAAGCTTTAATAGTTAATGCATGCATATTTGGGGGAAGTTTTTTTTTCTCTTCAGGAGGGAGTGGTGAGTAACGTATAAAAGGGTAACTCACGGAGAGAGGAATATGTATAAATATGCATTTGTCTTCTTTGTTTGCGTCTGAAAAAGGAGGGAGGGAAGGAAGGAAACTAAAAGAGCAACAACAACCAAACATGCATACATTTATATGGCCTGTTTATTATTATTATTATTATTATTATTATTATTATTATTATTATTATTATTATTATTATTATTATTGCCGTGTGTGTGTCTGCGGGGGGAAACGAGAAGTAGCCCCCCATTTGCAGGCCACACACGAGTGCATGTTTTAAAATTCAATGTCACGATTTGCTTGTTTGTTTTTCAGCTGAATCGATCGTTGGTATTTTGATTGGCGTGGGTGGGCTTTTTTTTTTTTTTTTTTTGTAATTTACTTCATTGTTGTCTTTTTTCTGGCGTTGATCAAGCGGCTCCCCTTTGAGGAAGATGCCCTGTATTCATTGTTTTTTCCTCCCCCCATTTGTGTGAGTCTCGAATTTAGAAAATGCTTCGGCGCACTTTTGCTGTTGTGCAGAAAGGCGAACGAGGACTTTATTTTCCCATTAATCACCGCATTGTGGACCGTCGAATTGCCTCGGGGGTCACTGTGGAGGAGGCGGATGTGCAGTCGCGGTATCGTCGTGAGCTTCGCACGAGCTTTGCTACCGGAGAAACGCGACAGACGATTCCTCCTGCCTGGAGTGCTTGCGAGCGGCCTACGCACTTCTTATCATTGCGTCTTCCAGTGAGAAATGTCCTTAGAACACGTGTGAATGAAATGCATAATCAGATTCTCTTTTCTCACCAGCAGCATGCCCCGCTGCTGGTCCCACTGGAAAAATTACACATTACTTTGGGCGTGATGGCCATTTCGGAGAGGGAGGAAACTGAGAGGTTGGCATCAATTTATGACTGCGTTTCGGAGGTGTTTTCGGTGATCCATCCGCTGCAGCTTCGATTTAGGGGTCTGGGGACATTTGGTTTTGGCCGTGTTCTATTTATACGTGTTGTACCCGAGGCAGATTTTGGTATTCTGGAAACCGCTGTTTCCAAAATCCGTCGAAGGGTTGGCGGTGAGTTAAAAGTGGACATGAAGGGTAATCCACATGATTCCTACGTGCCTCACGTCACCATCGCGAAAATTAGGTCCAAACAGCAGACGCAGTTTGGCAGCAAGATACCCATATCGATGTGGGTAGAGTATCAGCACCACGATTTTGGGGATGTGACCTTTTCGCAAGTTGATATTTGTAGCATGAGAGGGTCAAAAGATGGATATTACCACACGGAGGGTTCAGTGCACCTGTTGTAGGTACAGCAGGAGCTATCAAATCCCCAGACGTAGAGCGGGAGAAAGGAGCCAAAACGCAGGGAAAGGAGAAGACTTCTGGGGCACTTTCCCGAATATATCAGTGCTTTTGAGATGTCTTTTATTATTATCATTATTATTATTATTATTATTATTATTATTATTATTATTGTCTTTTTGCTCTTATTTAGTTATTTATTTTGAACTTCTTTATAGCTTTTGGCAATGGAGTCAATTAAGGCCAAGTGTACCGCAAAAAATCTCGTGAATGAGAAGCCTGCCCAGAAAACACCGCTTAGCATCAGCATTTCGGAAAAACACAAGGCTCAACTTCGCGAGGCGTTTGACCTTTTTGACTCAGAAGGGACGGGACGAATTAAGGCGTTGGATGTGAAAGTGGCGCTTTGTGCTCTCGGTTACGATGTAAGTAAAGAGGAGTTGACTCAACTGCTTAAACAGGTGGGTGGTTCTATCGTTGGCGGGGTGGACTTTAATGAGTTTTACTGCGTCCTTCTTGCGAAGATGATGCAGCGCGAAAGCAGATCCGAGGCAATTCGAGCTTTTAGGCTCATAGATGTTGCAGAGAAGGGTTACATTTCCGTAGATGATCTTCGTCCTATTGCCGACTCGTTGGAGATGGATCTGACAGATGACGAGCTGGCGGAGATGGTGCTCTTTGCTCATCCTCCCGTTGGTTTTGGAAAAAATGAGAACGACATCAAGGAGCCATTGACAGTGAGCGAAGAGGAATTTCTAAAGCTTATGGGCCGAGCTCATGTATATTAATACCCCATCTGCGATGAACGAAAAAATAAACCACAAAAAAAAAACGAAACACGAAACAAATGTATCTAAGATATTCCAGGAGTTTATGGGACTTAAATGAAAAAGAAGTGTTTTTTATCATGTAACAAAAAAGCTTCCTTGTTTATTTCTTTATTGATTTTTTTTTTGACTTGTTTTGTCCTTATTTTATTTCCGTTCTCTCATAGGTGACAGTGTGATGTCTGTACTTGGCGTCTCTTCCTACTTTCTGTGGACGCAGAAAGGCAAAACGGTTTTGCCATTAGTTCGCGGAAGTGGATTTCTTGTGTTATTTCAGCAGCTTGGCGGTTTCTACAAGTACCACGTACTGAGTGCAGCTCACGTGACGTGCCCTGTCAGGTATCGGCAGATATTTGGAGACACTATTGGACTCCGGGCAATTGGTGAACGCCACATTAGCACAAAATTGCTGAAACCAGGGAACAATGGTAAGGTCGAAGCATCACTCGATCTAGAATTTGCCCAGTCGTTCCTCCCCAATGTGGATGTCTCTTCTCTCAGGTGCGAGGATGAAAAGCAGATCAATGAGCTTTGTTTGCTGCCGTTTGAATTGGACGTGGATCCCATCAAAGAAGGCACGGAGCTCTTACTTTTTGGGATGGAGGCTGTGGAAGAGAGGGCCAATCCAAACGACGATGGCCTACACCTGAAAGATGCTTGCATCAAGGGCGAGTGTAGGGCGGCCCTTGTCTCTCTTGACTACGGCACTGTCTTTCTGGCGTCATTAGAATCCCCTCTCAGTTTGAGTATGTGTGGTGGGCCTGTTGTTCGGAAAGACAACGGGCGGTGTGTTGGTGTCATTGTTGCTCAGGTTCTGAAAAACGCACCGCCATCGGACCCTCAAGTAACTCCGTTGTACCGGGATCCATGGTTAGATCTCTCTCAAAATGAGACCATTAACGCCTGTGGAAAATTGGATGTGGCGTTTGTACCTGTGCGTGAGGTATACGATGCTCTTCGGCGTTGCGAAATGTAACGTGGGGTGGATTCAATTTTTCTTTTTTGTCTCTTGGCTTATTGCTTCTGTTTTATTATTATTATTATTATTATTATGCTTGGTGGTTTTGTTTTTGTTGTTGTTGATTTCTTAACGAGGAGACGCCTCTCTCTGTGGGAGCGCTGTGTAATGTTTTGTCCTGGCTTTTTCTCTGCTGAGAATGCCATTGTGCCAAGGTAGGTGGAAGTCGCCGCGTTGGAAGAAAAAGAGGGGAGAAGATGGTGAAGAAACAGCCGGGAGCAGAGAACATTCGTGTGGTTGTTCGATGCCGAAACTTGTTGCCGTACGAGGCGGAGCGTGGTGACAAGGCTCTTGTGCGTCTTGACCTTGCGACAAATCAGGTCATTGTGCAGCATCCTATTGGGGATGCCGACACCTTTGCGTTTGACGCTGTATATAACAACACCTATACACAACGTGATATATTTCTTCAGGAGGTGCAGCCACTTGTCGAGGCTGTACTTCAAGGCTATAATGCAACGGTCTTTGCGTACGGTCAGTCAGGATCCGGCAAGACGCATACAATGACAGGTAAACTAAGTGATCCCCAAATGTGGGGTATGATGCCGCAGGTTGTGAATTACCTCTTCAACGAGGTGAGGAAGTTGTCTACAACCACCAAATCATTCAAGATCAAGGTTTCTTATGTTGAGCTTTACAACGGCAAGTCCCGGGATCTTTTGGCTTCGAAGCAGGTCAATCTTGAAATAAAACAAAACATGGCTAAAAATTTTTATGTAAAGGGCGCCGAAATGCCAGAGGTGACAAGTTTTGATGAGGCTATTCGGTGGTTTAACGCTGGAACAGACCGACGACAGACCGCCTCCACCGAATTGAATGATACCAGCAGCCGATCCCACTCACTATTCACTCTTCAGGTAGAGCAGTTTGATTTTGAGCAAGACCCAAGCTCCCCCATTGTTCTCACGAGCAAAATCAACGTTGTGGATTTGGCAGGGTCGGAAAAGTTGAGTAAAACGAATGCCACCGGAGAAACTGCGAAGGAAGGGTGTAACATCAACCTGTCGCTGTCGGCGCTCGCAACTGTCATTGACACCATTGTCAAGGGTGGAAAACATATTCCGTATCGGGGTTCGCCTTTGACGATGCTGCTTAAGGATTCTCTTGGGGGTAATGCAAAGACTGTTATGTTTGCCAACATTGGACCATCCGAAAAAAATATATCAGAAACTATATCAACTCTTCGTTTTGCCCTCAGAGCGAAACAGATTGAAAATAAGCCCATTAAAAATATGGATCCGAAGGATGCTCGTATCCAGGACCTTTTGGATCAGATTGAGGAGCTAAAGAGCAGATTAGGGAATGTTGATCTTAACCAGGAGGACCAACTTCGACAGCGCATTGAGGAGCTGGAGATTGAAAATGCCGATCTTCGGGGCGGGGGCGTACAAAACAACATTGAACTTGAAGAAGATATTCGTATTCTTCAGGCGAAGCTGGAGGAGGCAAACGGGATGGTTGCGGAGAAACAAAAAGAATTGGAGAAGGGAATAGATGGACGCTCGCTTTTGGAATGGAATCTTCAAAATGAACTGGGGCGTGGGAAGGAGCTTCGCTCTCTTGCAATGAACTTCATTAAACAGGTATGCCATGAAGAGCAGATACAGGCAATTCGAAGTAAAATGCCACAGGATGGCTCGTACAATACGACGGATGACGGTTGGGATGTGAAGGAGATTGAGTTCTACTTGCGTGAATTTGCCGCTATGTACGAAGCCTGGCGACAATCTACATACACGCGAGAAGATCTAGAAAAATACGCCCATTTGTCTGTTACTGGTGCACTGGAACAAACCCAGCGGCAACTGGATGAGGTAGCCCGCGCTCGTGATGAGTTGGTGCGCCTGCGTCAAGAGGACTCAGTAAAACGCGCGGCGGAAAATGAGTTGGTTTCTCAGTTAAGGGTAGATTTAAGCACCCTTAAGGACGAGAATACAAAGCTGCGGGAAAAGGTTGAACGAGACCAGGAGCGAATGAAGGCGAAAATTTCCAAAAACAAGGAGGAATACAAGTCTTTGGCGGAGGAACTGGAACGCTCCAAGGCTTTGGTAACGGAAAAGGAACGCGATATTGAGAGGTTGAAGCGGATTTCAGAGGAAACTGGCAACAATGCCATAATTTCTGCCTCCACTGGCGGTGGAGCGTCATGGGCCAACGCGGACGAGCGAACCGCCATGCTTCAGCAGTTAAATGAAGAGAAGAATATCAGAAAAGCCCTCGAGTCACGCATCAGAGAAGTGAACGTTTCACTTCGCCGCTATGGTGTTTGCATCGCGGATGCCAAGGAGGTTACAAATGAATCCCGCGAAGTTTCCGAGGCCACCGACGCATTTATTCTTGCGGCGTTGGAGGAGAAAGACACCATGGATGGGGATCTTTGCGCCAAGTTACAGCAGCAACTGCGAGTAAAACAGCGACTCACAGAGCTTCGTCATCAGCACCAGCGAAAGTTGGACGATATGCTAAGGAAGTATGAACTTATCAAAACTGGGAGAACCACGGCGAACAGCGGTGCCGGCGCTGACAACAACATGCTTCATTCTGGTCTCGCGGATGAAGCCACCGCACAGCAGATAAAGGAATTGCTTCATCGGAAAGATGAAGAGATTGAACGCGTGATAAAAGAGAAGGAAAAGACATGTGATAGAATTGTGAAGAAACTCAACAAGTGCGAGCTGAGAATAAAAGAATTAGAGGCGACACTTGAAGAAGAACGTGTGCAATCCACTGAGGAGCGTCAGGAGTTAGATCGTGAAAATCGTGAGCTTCAACGGTACAACCAACAGCTTTCGGTGGAGCTGGAAACTCTACGAGGTCAGTTGAGTGAGATGAAGGAGGAGATGGACTTCATGGAGCGTGCAAAGAGCGCCGAGATTGAACGATGGAAAGAGGAAGCAGCGAATGGCGCTGGACGCCTGGAAGAGATGCGCTTTAAGATGGCCGCATACAGTGAGCTTCAAAAGAGTTATGATCGACTGCAGGAACAGCTTCAACGTACCGAGGTTTCACTAAAAGAAAAAAGTGACAACCTTGAGAATACCAGACAAATGGTGAAGTGGTCCAATTCCCTCCTTGCTACAGAGAAGCAGAAGGTGGAGCAGATGGAGATGATGTTGAAGCAACAGGAGGTTGAGATGCGTCGCCGTGAAGAGCAACTAAAATCTGAAATGATGAATGATATCAACAAACAAGTTGCCGCAAATAATCGCCGTATGCAAGACCAGGCCGCGCAGTACCAGGAGCTTATATCCCAAGAGCAGGATAAACAAAAGTCAATTATGAAAAAGGTGAAGAGTTCAAGGAAAGAAACACAAAAGGCAGCTCAACGATATGATGAGATGATTTTGGAAAACGAGGCCCTATTGTCGAAACTTGAAGAGCTAAAGGTAACTTCTATGAGGATATTTCTGGAGAAGCAGGAGGCACAAAGGGAGTTGGAAGCATTACGTCCCACAAAGCATGTTGCTAATCGACGTCTCTGATGAAATTATATATGGCGAACTTACGTGTGTTTATGTGTGCGCCGTTTCTAGTTTGAATGTCCTTTTGTTTGTTTGTTTGTTTTATTTGCTTGTCTTTAGTGTTATTTATGTTATATGCTTTATTCCTTTTCCGTTAACTGAAGAACGGGGTGGTGGATTAGCGTTCTGGAATCGTGCACATATCTATAGAGTTACTGTCTTTTAGCGTGAATTCCTGAGTCTTTTTTTTTTTTTTTTTGATAGTATTTGAAGTTTATTATTTGTTCTTGTTGGTGTTTTTTGATTATTCTTTCTTCCGTGTGCTTCTTACTGTAGGGGCGATGGTCCGGGACACGGCACAACGTGCTTCTGTGGTGAAGGCAGGGCTGTCGAAAAGTGCGGTGAAAGAACAGGAGGTAGCTCTTAGGCGCAGCAAGCGGAGTAAGTTTACACCGGCCTCGACGCACAGTAAAGGCAATCCCATTCATCGAGCCCTCAAGTACCATGAGAAGAAGCTCCTTCGAAAGCACGACTTCATGCAGTATCCACAGGATAACTGGCATGAGCCCTTCTGTATCACAAAGTATCACCTGGAGGACCGTGAAGACTACCGCAGGTACTTGCGTCTGGTGGGACTTACCCGGCAGCTTTTGGCGCACCTTCGCTACCTTCCATCCGACAGCAAGATACGGATACAAATAACCCAGCAACTGCTAGAGAAACTCTTTACAATGGGGCTTATTAAGGAGAAGCTTGGTTTGGCTGAGGTGGACAAAGTCGGTGTGGAGGCCTTTTGTAGGCGACGGTTATCTACGGTTATTCGTGATCTCAGCATGGCAGCAAACTGCAAACTTGCTGCGGAACTTATCCATCATGGACATGTGCGTGTGGGCACAACACAAGTTAGGGACCCCGCGTTTCTTGTCTCCAAAGGTCTAGAGGACCTTGTCACGTGGATGCCCGGTTCAAAGATTAAGCATCATGTGGATACCTTCAACGTACAACGCGATGACTACGAGTAATATATATACACATACGAATTCAAAACCTTTGCATTTGTTCTCGTATTTGATGCAATAATGAAAGAAAAGCTTATTTTTGTTGTGATCTTCTAATACTCTGTTCCTATGTTTGTGTATTATTGATTTCTCCTGATTTATTTTTACGCGCGTTTTTTCTTTCTCTTGCGTTCTCATATGTTGTTTTCCTTCCCCTATAAGGCGATAGGACCATGATGCAGGGCAGAGGGTATAGGACCACGTTGTCATCGCTTCACTTCAGATAGTAACTGAAGCTGCGTGCATGGTCTGCACTAGCTTTGATGTACCGCGGGATGATCGGGACGCAATTGCATCCATCTCTATCAGGTGATGGGGTCCCGCTGGAGGCAGAGTGAGCGTGATGACGAGAGTGCGTGTCAAATATAATAAAAAATCTGGCGACGACAGCAAACAAGGAAACAGTGATGGGAGTGCGGGAAATAAGAACGCATTCGTGAATTTTTTTCCCTCTCTAAAGCTTCTTGATATATCTTTGTGCACACTGGTGGCAATTCATTCTTGTGCAATTCTCTTTTTTCTGCTTGTGCTTGTGTCTGTGTGTGACCTCCTACTGCGAGGTTGCGAATTTTTACTTTTATTCCTATATGCTCCTCTTCTTTTTTTTGGGTGGGCGGAGGCTTGTCTTTTGCAGCAACCTAAATTTTACGATTTCACAAGAGAGGAAAAACGAGGCATATAGGAAAGAAAAAAAAAGGGAATTTAAAAAAAAAAAAAAAAGAGAGAACACTGAAAGAAGGGGAGGGGGACGTATACAATACATCCACCATGTCCGCAGATCGTTCCTCACGACGTAAGGAGATGGATTTTATGAAGTTGATGAATGGCCCACGAAAGGTGCATCCATCTAATTCTGTCTCAGAGTTTTGGGTTGAGTTTAATGGACCCGAAGGAACAGCCTACGAGGATGGCACGTGGTTTATTCACGTCCAGCTTCCAGCTGATTACCCATTTAAGTCCCCTTGCATCGGATTCAGCAACAGCATTTATCACCCAAATGTGGACGAGGCAAGCGGGTCTGTTTGTCTGGATGTGATTAATCAGACATGGACACCCATGTATGAGTTGCAGAACGTCTTCGATGTTTTTCTCCCGCAACTCTTGCGGTATCCCAACGCCTCTGACCCTTTAAACTCCTCTGCCGCTTCCAAGTTGCTTCATGACCCTATTGCCTATGTCTCTATTGTCCGCGAACATGTTTCAAGACATGCCACAAGAGAAGTGGCGCTTGGGAGCATCCCTTTGGAGTTCCGACCGCTGCAGGAGGACGCGGTGAGAGCGAATGAAAAGACCCGAACGGTGTTGGAGGATAGTTCCCCAGCCACCTCCAAGGGTCTAACAGAAGCCCCGAACTCCTGTGTTGACAGCGAAGAGGAATATGAACCGGAGTCGATTGATATCTGAGGAGGAAGCAAGGGAGGAAGGGGGGGATTAAAAAAAAAAAAAAAAGCTTGAGGGACTTTAAGCGAAAAAGCGAGGGAAAAAAATTATGTGAAAGCTCATTGTTTTACGAAGGAGTGAGATCACGTTCTCCCCTTTCAAAATTATTCCTGTGGAGGAGGTTCTAGTCCTAAGGGGCGAGGGTTCAAAGAATGGTAGAGCGAGGAAAATAGGAAAAAAAAAATATCAACCTTTTTCTGCTGGTTTGCGTGACCTTATTAACTGCAGCACCGTACTTGTACAGGCCCATGGCCACCCGCATTCCCCACCGATGTATTTAAGTACGTGTTACGGGACGTCGCCCTCATTTTTTTTTGTTTTGTTTTTTGTTTTTTGTTTTCTTCCTTTGTTTGGTTTTTATGCGTGCTTTCGACTTATTTTTGCTTTCGGAATGATTTAGTTTCTGTTGTAACAAAAGTTTTTAAAAAAGAAGAAAAAAAAAAAAAAAGAACAGTTTTGCTTGTTGTGCAAAAAGTCGGCATTGTCACTTTTTTCCAAACGCCCTTTCCCCCCTTCCCCCGCTTGATAGACCGTCTTTTGTTTTTCGTTCTATCTCGAGTATGGCACGCGTTTTTGTTTGTTTGTTTTTGCGTGCGCGCTTCCTTCTAGCAAAGAGTGGGTCGTCCTGGGATTGCCGACCGGGACGCTTTAAAGGTGAAACAATGAGTGGTGAAGAAAAGGCAAAAAGGAAAAAAATAAAAGTAAAAAACGAAGAAGGGGATAAGATTTCCCGAGTCAAGTGAACGTGGAGAGAAAGCGAGAAAAGAAGAATGAAGGGGAAAAAGGGACATTCCCTCCTCATTCTATGCGTGTCAGACGAAAATGCCTCGAATTGTTTTATTATTATTATTTTATTGTTGTTATTATTTATGCTGCTGTTGGTTGCTTTTTTTTTTTTTTTGAGTGGTTTCGGCACTGGCTCACACATGAATCACATTTTCTCTTTTGTGTTTCGCGCGTTGTTGCTTAGATGTATCAGATGCGGCCG